GGTATATATATATATATATATATTTTTTTTTTTCCAGTTAACAAACAAAAGGAAAAAGACTTGAAGATTAACAAACTCACCAAAGGAAGTAATAAAGAGAGCACGAGTGTTGCCAAATCAAAGAACAAATTAAAACAAAATCTTCTAACTAAAAAAGAATTTAATCGACTTCAACGTTTGATGGAAGCGTTCAATTGCTCCCCGACTCTCCGGATGATACGCGCTCGAAACTTTATGCGTAATTCCCAGAGTTTAACACTCGCGCAAACAGTTTCGAAAGAAAGTTCGTTCCCTGATCAGTTTGGACTGCTCTTGGTAATCCAAACGTGGTAAAAAAATTTACCAAAGCTTTAATTACAGCAGATGAGGTAATTTTCCTCAATGGAATTGCCTCCGGAAAGCGTGTTGCGGTGCACATTGTCAACAAAAACTGGTTACCCGTTTTTGTTTCCGGTAAGGGGCCCACACAATCTACAAGAACCTTTTCAAAAGGCTCTCCAACAGCAGGTACTGGTATTAACGGAGCCGGCGGAATCTGCTGATTGGGCTTCCCAACGATCTGGCAAACATCACAAGTATGACAGTACTCGGAGACATCTTTCTTCAACCCTGGCCAGAAGAAGTGTCTAAGGATACGATTATAGGTTTTCGTAATCCCCATATGGCCTGACAATGGGTGATCATGGGCTAAGTTTAAAACGTGCCGTCTATAAACTAGCGGTACCACCACCTGCCTGAACACATTCCATTCAGTCTCCTCGCTAAGATTTTCTTGCCACTCACGTAGAAGCAGGCCTTGTTCTAACACGTACCTCACTTTCTCGTTTTTCACGGTCTCTGGACTTTCCACAGCAAGAAAATACTTTTGCAACGATGGATCAGCATTTTGTGAGAGAATAACCTCATCACGTGACATAGGCAAATTCAGCAACTCTACATCAATCAATTTATTTTTAGATTGTTTCAAATAGTCACCACAGGTAGTCTTAATGGGAGATTCTGATTGAGAGCTGCCTTCCCCAAAGACAGATGACATGAATGAATCAGACAACACAATGTCTGTCCCTATTCTGCGTTTTTGCGCTCTGGTAACCACACTTGCAGGAAACACATCAGGATATTCATACGCTATATCATCAACAGGAATAAAACAGTCTGGCTGATCAAGGACCTCTGGTAACGGAAACACCTTACCTCCAGGCAAATCATTTCCCAGAATGAAGGTGACACCTTTCACTGGCAGTGAAGAACGAACTCCTACATTTACAAAACCTGTGATTAACTTACACTGCAAGTATACACGATGCAGTGGGACTTTCACCGTACTCATTTCGATACCCTGAATCAACACATGAGATCCACAATATGTCTGTTCAGACAACGGCAGAACATCAGAGAGAACAAAGGACAAAGCAGCTCCTGTGTCACGCAAAATGTGTACCTCTTGTTGTTCTTTATGATCACCATTTAAAGAGATAAACCCTTTCATTACAAATGGCGTAAAATTCACATCAGTCTCTTCACAAGACAATGCATTACTCAAACGTTCGCTCACATTTTTCACAAAACCAACCGGCTTTGGTTGACTTGGCGTTTGTTTGTTTTTTAGTGTAATGCAATCAGCAATCACATGCCCTCGTTTATGACAATAAAAACACTAATTTCTTTCGGTGGAGATTAACTAGGTTTAACACGGAAACTTTTACTCTGACCAGAAAATGAGCCCCAATTTTTTTCTGATCGAGCTGGACTAAACACACTTGTGCGTCAACACAAACTCATCAGCAAGAACTGCAGCTTGCGACAAGGATATAACCTTCTGTTCATTCAAATATGTCACCACTCGATCAGGCACACAATTCTTAAATTCCTCCAACATCATCAGATCTTTCAATGAAGTAAAATCGAGTACCTTACTTGCTGTTAACCATTTATCAAATAGAATTCCCTTTTCACGGGCAAATTCCACATAAGTTTGCTGGGCTGTTTTCTTGTGGTTCCTACATCTCTGCCTGTATGCCTCGGGCACCAACTCGTATGCGCGAAGTATAGCATTCTTCACAATATCATAGTTAACACTATCATCTAAGGACAAGGTTGAAAAGACTTCCTGAGCCTTTCCTACAAGTCTGCATTGCAGCAACAAAGTCCAAGCCTCTTTCGGCCATCGAAGTGAAGAAGCTATTCTTTCAAATGCATTAAAATATGAGTCCACTTAGTTTTCCCTAAACTGAGGCACCAACACTATCTGCCTACTAATATCAAACGCAATTGTTGAACCATCGTTCCTAGCAGGCATAGAAGGATTAACAGGAGCAGAATGTATAACAGACTCAGAACGACTTTTCATCGAGTCTAGTTCAAGCTGACGCAATTTTACCTGCGTTTCGGCTTCTATCTCTAATCTTCGAACCTCGAGATGTAAATTAATTTCAGCCTGACATGACTCAACACGCTCCTGGGCTTCCAACTGAATTCGAGCCATGCGCACTTTAAGGCGCGCGGCATCAGAACCAGTGGACTGCGGAGAGAATGGAAGAAAGGTAACGTTGCTTTAGCATCGTCTTCCTCCGCCCCAGCCCTGTCACCCAACGGACTGGACGAACGCATCCCAGCTGCCCTGTCCCCCGCCTCTACTATAGCAAACACATTAAGTTCAACCAACTTTTGAAACACCAAAGCCTTAATAGACTTTTTCAACGATTGCTTTAAAACTGGAATTTTAAAGTGCTCAGCTATTTTTATAAGATCGTCTTTTCTACATGCGTCTAATTGTTCCGGTGTTGGATTTTTAATAAAAACGTGGAAGTCGAAAGAACTAATTTTTTCTTACCTTATGCCGTCCAATTTTTACACAAACAATTTCTCAGATGCCAAGTGTTCTCCCCCCACACAGCACCAACGTTACAATCTTCACATAATACCAATAATTAATTATAACCTACAGTTGAGTAAATTACAGTTGAATCCCGGATGAGCCCCCACATGTTACAACCCAAAACTTGTTTGATTTGTCTAGGAATATTAAGGGAAGGTAACATTCATAAACCTCTATAATAACATTTAGTATAGATCTTAATAGTGCATATCAAACGGTGGGCAAGTCATGAAGAGGAGAACGCTACAAGTTCAAACAGAGAAAAGACATTTATTCATTTAAACCCCAACCAATACACCAAGAAATATAGGCTTTAAATTCATCCAAAAGGGAAAAGTATATATATATTTCCAGTTAACAATAAACAAAAAGAAAAAGACTTGAAGATTAACAAACTCATATAGGCGTTAAATTCATCCAAAAGGGAAAAGTATATATATATATATTTCCAGTTAACAAACAAAAGGAAAAAGACTTGAAGATTAACAAACTCACCAAAGGAAGTAATAAAGAGAGCACGAGTGTTGCCAAATCAAAGAACAAATTAAAACAAAATCTTCTAACTAAAAAAGAATTTA